TATTGACTTTATTTTTAGCTGAGATTTTACGGCGAGAAAAGAGGGCGGCTAAATTGAGCAAGTTATCAAATTACTACTATTTTTTCACATCGATTATTATCAAAGCAATCATTTATATTATATTTAAAAAAAAAATGGCTAAAAATTTTACACCATCCCAGGTATAAGAATTATTGGATATGCACGAAAACACTTTACTTAAAATATTTACCGAACGCTTTCAAAAGGTAGAAAACGACTTTTTAATAATAAAGGAAGAAAATATGTGTTTAAAAGAAGAATTAGAGCAAATAAACTCCACTATTCAATTCCTAAGCGACAAATACAAAACAATGAAAAAAAACATTAAACAATAATAAAAATAAAATATCCCCTCAAGACAATTTTAAACAAAAAGCAATAAATCTTGAAAACGAATATCTTAAAGACAAGATGGCAGAGTTAGAGGACAGAAGTCGTCGTAACAACCTTCGATTTGAAGGAATCGAGGAAACTGAAGGAGAAACGCGGAAAAACAGTAAGGAGAAAGTCAAAAAGCTAATAAAAGTAAAACTAAATATAAACGAAGAAATACATATAGAACGTGCACACAGAACCGGGAAGAAAGAAGACAATGACGGTAAAATAAGAAGAAGAAGAACTATAGTAGTTAAATTTCTAGATTATAAAGATCGTGAAACTATACTAGATAACTACAAAAAGCTGAAATTACAAAACGAAAAGATGAATATCAATGAAGATTTTAGTGAGAGAACAATCAACATTCGCAAACAACTACTCATTAAAGCCAAAGAAATACGTTCATCAGGTAATTTTGCCAAAGTTGTTTATAATAAATTAATTACCAAGTCTTTCGAAAAGATTATCTGATTATCAAAAAAATAAAAACAAAAAAAAAGGGTTTTAAAAATATGTAATATGTTCACATGTGTGCGTACTTATATACCAGTATATATAAAAACCTTCAAATATTTTCAAAATAACAAAAACATACAAAATGGATTCAACGTATCGGAATGATTTTGAAAAAATATTAAATTTATTTCAAACAAATACTTTTAATTTAGACAATGAATCTGATCCAGATATTAATTCTTTTAATGAGATTAATGGATCAAAATTCAAATGCTCTTACTTTTATCCAGATAAAATTAAAAGCATATTTAAAAATAATGATAATCGTGATTATTTTAATTTAATCCACATTAATATCAGAAGTTTAAAAAAAAATTTTGATGACTTTTTAAATATGATTTGTCAAACGGAAAATTTTTTTAACGTTAATTGCTCAACTGAAACTTGGTGTATAGAGGAAGATTTTAAATCAAACTCTAATCTCCATCTTACAGGTTTTAATATAGTCTTCTTAGAGCGTAATGTTAATAAGCGTGGAGGAGGAGTTCTTTTTTACATAAAAGAAAACCTTGCGTATAATATTCGAAGCGATATGATCATAATATTGAGATTTTAACGGTTGAAATAATAAACAAAAAATCTAAAAATATTTTACTAAGCTGCTGTTATCGGCCACCAACCGGAAGAACTGAGTACCTAAGCAATTATCTAGTTCATAATATAATAGGAAAAACTAGCCAAGAAAAGAAAAAAAACTATATACTAGGGGATTTCAACCTTGACTGCTTCCAGTATAATGAAAAAAAATATATAATAAAGTTTTATAATCATTTATTTGAAACGGGAACAATACCCATTATAAATAAACCTACTAGATTTACAAAGTCTTCATCCTCCTTAATTGACAACGTTCTAACCAATGACTATTTCAATATTATACTCAAAAAAGGTATTATAAAAACTGATGTTTCGGATCACTTTCCAATTTTTTTCTGCTTAGGCGCTGACCACAAAACAAATACGAATGGTAAAATAACATTAAAAAAACGAATTTATAGCAACAATAACTTAAATTTATTTAAAGAGCAACTTTTACACTAAAACTGGAGCTACATAAACTTTAATGAGGATATAAATATCATCTACAAATCTTTTTTTAATATATTTTGCAAAATATATGAAGCAAATTTTCCTATTCGAGAAATAGTTCTTAACGCCAAAGACATAACTTGTTATTAGATAACTAAAGGAATAAAAAAATCATCAAAAATAAAACAAAAACTCTATATTAAATATCTTAAAAATAAATACGACAAACATAAAAATAACTAGACATTTTACAAAAATCTATTTGAAAAACTCCGAAAAAAAGCCAAACAAATTTACTACTCTGACTTGCTTATAAAACACAAGAATAATTCAAGGCGGGTGTGGGAAATAATGAAAGAAATTACTAGCAAACATAAGACAAACACAAATACGATGCTGAATGCTATATAATTTGAAAATAAGTTAATTACCGATTCAAATGAAATCGCAGCCGAATTCAATAACTTCTTTTCGTCAATAGGACATAACCTATCAAACAAGATTCATTATGTAGACAACAACTCTGTTGATGAATTTATATCATCACCAAATTCAACTATAAATTTTTCAAATCTAACTTATAATGAATTCGAAATTGCATTTAAATCATTAAAAAGGAATAAAGCAATAGGGTCTGATGATATAAATGAAAATATTGTAATCGACTATTTTAATAAGATTAAAGATATCCTCTTCAAAGTCTTCAAAGCATCTATTACTCAAGGATCGTTTCCAAATAGTTTGAAAATAGCCAAAGTAACTCCAAACTTTAAAACAGGTGACCATACCAACATAACAAACTATCGTCCTATCTCAGTTCTACCGCTTTTTTCAAAAATATTAGAAAGAATAATGTATAATAGAATTTACACTTATCTTATTGATAATAAACTCCTTTATAAAAATCAATTTGGTTTTCAGAGAAACAGTTCTACTGAACGCGCTATTCTCCAAGTAACACGCAGTATTGCCGATTCATTTAAGAATTCTCAATTCACACTAGGCATATTCATTGACTTGTCAAAAGCTTTTGATGCTGTTAGTCATCATATTTTAATAAAAAAGCTAGAGAGCTATGGTATAAAAGATAAAACCCTAAATTGGTTCAAAAGCTATCTAAGTAACCGCAAACAATTTGTTTATAACAAAGAATCTTCATCGCAAATAATAAAAAATATAACATGCGGTGTCTCCCAAGGGTCCGTACTTGGACCACTATTATTTCTATTATACATAAATGATCTTTACAAAGCTTCTACCCTAACGACCGTAAATTTTGCAGATCATACGAATTTATTTCAGTCGCACGAAAACATGGAAATACTTTTTAATAATATGAAGATTGAATTAAAAAAAATATCATATTGGTTTAGAAGAAATAAATTGTCCTTGAATACGAATAAAACAAAGTTTATACTTTCTCACCCAACCTTTAAAAAAAAGAGAATCCAAAATATCTTACCTGACCTATTCATTGACAATACAATCATAAAATGAGAAAAATTTACAAAATTTTTAGGAGTCATAATAGATGAAAACTTATTTTGGACTCAGCAAATTAATAGTATTTCAATGAAAGTTGCTAAAAACATTGGAGTTCTATACAAAGCTCGATACATACTAAATAAAAAGTAACTAACTCAACTATATTATTCATTTATTCATTGCCATATAAACTATGCCAATATTATATGGGGAAGCGCTCACAAAACCAAAAAAATCTCTCTATCGGCATCAGAAACACGCAGCTCGCATAATTAATTTTGAAAATCGTTTTTCAAGCTCAACACCACTTCTTATAGAACTGAAAGCTTTAAATATATACGAACTAAATATTTTAACATTTTATGTTTTACCTTTAAATCTAAAGAAAATTTATCTCCAAGTGTATTTATAAATCTCTTTAATTTGAAACCAAAAAACAAATATGAACTTCATGATAGTAAAAATATTCAAGAGCCGTTTTGCAAAACAAAAATTGACCAGTTTTGTATTTCTTATCGTGGTCCATTTCTTTGAAGTAAAATAGTTTTACCTAACTTTGATTTTTCTTTGAAATGGTCTTATTCCTCCTTTAAAAAGAAAACAAAAGAAATAATCTTTTCAACACAAAATATATTTAATTATTTTTAGTATTTCAAGTTATTTGATATTTTTGTCGACTGTGTGATGAATATTATTTAAACAATATATGCTGAATACTTTATATTATAATATTGTTCAATATTGAGAATGTTATATACTCATATTATAAAATATTATGTTAAAACTTGCTTTACATTTGAAGAATATTCTAACACTTATGTAGTTTTTAATATTTGTAAATTTTCTACCTTTTAATTCGTTATATAGATTGTAAAGGGCTTCATGATAAGATCATGTGATCTTCTGGAAGTCCTACCAGTAATATACTAAATGTAAATTTACCTTGTTCATAATTTTCTGGAAAAAAAACTTGTTAAATTAAAAAAATTTTCTAATATTGCTTATTTTTCCTGAAAAAAAAAAGGCTTTTTTACTATCAGAAAGTCATGAAACCTAAAATATGGTATTTTTATAAAAATCTTCAACTAAATATTTACCTAACACACTAAATGCTATTTGTGGAACTTTTTTATAAATAAAGTAAAATATTTATATCAGGGTATCTCTGAAATAATCTATTATTCATTTATACACAATTGCATAAATTATGCAATCATCGCCTGGGAAGCACGGATTAAAGTATATAGCAACATCTTCATCGCCATGAGAAAAATGCTATCCACCTAGTTAAGTAAGCGGATCGCTTTTCACATTCAAAATATTCTTTCAATTATATGAAAGTACCAGATGCTTATAAACTGAACATATTTAATGTTTTATGTTTTACTTTCATATGGAAAAACGATTTGTCTTTATTTGATTTTAACAAACTTCTTTATTTAAAACCAATAAATAAATACACGGTAAGAAATAATAGCTTTTAAATGAACCTTTTCGTAGAAATAAGTTCAATCAATTTTGTATTTCACACCATGCACCCCATCTTTGAAAAAATAAAAAACCTGACATACCTAAGTTATTTTCAATTTTATTTAGTTCATCTTCTACATCGTATAAAATGCCGCGCAACCCTTTTAATGCTTTACAGGCTTCATATCAACTTTTATTAGCTAGCAGCCATCTAGGAATTCAGGAACAAATAGTATTGAAATTCCCATGACTAATGCAATAGAAACTGCAGCCGTTGTTGATTGCTTGACGTTGCCGTATAAATTTATTAAAAAAGCTAAAAATATTCCTATGGTGGTACCAATCTGATTTATGACCCCTAATCTTCCACGAAACTGAAATGATGAAACTTCCGCAATATATATCTAAAGATGAATTAAACTGTAAGGTATTTTTAATTTTACATTTAGGTTAACAAATTAAAATGTGGTTAAACAAACTAGACAAAATGTTATTAAAGCTTACTGCGCAAACAAAAACAATGAAAAGAAAAATGATGTTTGCAGAATAAAATATTTTGGATGCATTATATTTTAATAAGGAAACTTTTTTACATTTTCTTACTGGGACAGTTAGGGAACATGAACCGGTGGCAATTCCTGTCAATATTCTTCCAACATGTAAAGTTGTTACATTGGGAAAGTAGCCTAATAAAATCCATCCTGGAATATAAAATAAAGCTGCTATCATTATTCCTTTTTTTCTTCCAAATTTTTCTATGCAATATTCTCCAAGGAATAATCCAGCTATTGCACCAATTTCAAGCAGAGCCTACAAAAAAAAAAGAGAAAAAAATGACAACTGGTAAATATTATGTATATTATTTATAAAATGAAGGGTAATTCAATCTATTTTTTATTTATTTTCTTTATTGTACAGACTTTAATTCATTCTTTCTCAGACATTAAATAATTTAGTATTAGAGTTTAAGTTAATTTTTGAATGGCAATTTATGGTGAAATGTTTAAAGCAATTTATAAACTTCAATACATGGTTTTTTTTAATACCCTTATTAAAGGTTAATAATCTAATTAGGAAATAATATCACGAGCCATCATCAAAAAAGAGAAATTGAATTTAGATGTAAACTTTTGTATAATATTAACAGATTTATAAAAAAAAATTCTCAAATCTTTTATACGTAAAGTGTTTCAGACGGTAACGCTAAGAAATACCCGTTTATCACGGTAAAACAATCCATTAAGTAAACTTTGAGCTTTTGTTTGGTCATAGTTAATATAGATAACTTTTATTCACCATTTTCATTCTACACATTGTTCTCATTTTTTTTACTATATTAAACTATGGTATTCATGGTTTATTACAAAGTACACTAGGCGGCATCCATAAAATAGGAACGAAGTAAAATAACTGATCTAAAAATCCTCCCCTCTTCTACGCCTACCTACACTTCTTCTGCGTATGTACTCATTCTTTATTCCATAATATACACCCTTAAGCAAAAACAAAACACCCTAAATCATAAATTCTTTGAAGAAAAAAAAAAAAAATTTTTTAACGTTTTGGAGTATAAAAATGTTAATCTACCAAAACCCATTAAATTTAATTTAATGGGTTAAATGGGAAAAGAACTTTTAATATAGAATTAAATAGGAATGAAAAACCTAATGGAATGGGTACTTTTTTAACACATGAGTTTTTTTAATGGAACTCAATAAAACTGAAACTAACAAACAAATAATATTTAATAATATTGTATCTTCAAGCACTATACTTAAGTAAAAAGTAATAATCTGAACCATAAAAAATAACAATAATTGAAAAATGTAATATATTTTTAATGAACTTGTTGTTTTGATTTGATTACAAATTATTGAGTTATAAAAAATTATAACTTTAATGGTAATTTTTTTAACAATAAAACAATCAAAGAATATAAACTATAAAATCGAGAAATTAAGATAATTTAAGATAACACTGTCGTTATCTTTAATTAAGATAACACTGTCGAACTTGTATGAATGATGAATGTTCTTCACTATAAAATTTCGCGAAAAAATTATATGTATATGTATATATATATATATATATATATATATATATATATATATATATATATATATATATATATATATATATATATATATATATATATATATATATGTATATATATATATATATATATATATATATGTATATATATATATATATATATAAATATATATATATATATATATATATATATATATATATATATATATATATATATATATATATATATACATATATATATATATATATATATATATATATATATATATATATATATATATACATATATATATATATATATTTATATATAAATATATATTTATACATATATATTTATATATATATATATATATATATATATATATTTATACATATATATTTATATATATATATATATATACATACATATATATATATATATATATATATATATATATATATATATATATATATATATATATATATATATATATATATATATATATATATATATATATATATATATATATATATATAAAAGCAACAGTTACCTTTTAGGTGCCTGCATAGAAAATCTATATATATTTATATATATATATATATATATATATATATATATATATATATATATATATATATATATAGATAGATAGATACTAATGTATGATATATATATATATATATATATATATATATATATATATATCATACATTAGTATAGAAAATCTATATATATATATATATATATATATATATATATATATATTATATATAAAAGCTACAGTTACCTTTTAGGTGCCTGCATAGAAAATCTATATATATATATATATATATATATATGTATATATATATATATATATATATATATATATATATATATATATATATATATATATATATATATATAGATAGATACTAATGTATGATATATATATATATATATATATATATATATATATATATATCATACATTAGTATAGAAAATCTATATATATATATATATATATATATATATATATATATATATATATATATATATATATATATATATATATCCCAGACAGCAAGCTTACATTGGCCCAATATAAGTTTTAACATTGGCAAGTTTATTTCGTTGGGCCAACATTAAGCTAATTTTTTTTTTTGGTGTATTTTTTCAATTCTGCAAATCTGTTTTTTGCAAATATCGTACTATATTGGGCTAACATTTAGCCAATGTTTTTTTTCGGCGTAATATTGCAATTTTACAAATCGGTTTTTTTCAATTATCGTACTACGTTGGGCCAATATTTGGCCAATGTAGTTTAGGCCTAATATTTTGCCGGATTAGTATATACTTTTAAATTGTTTCGAAACATTTTTTAAAAATGGTATCGTTTTACAGAATAAAAAAAGGTTTTGATACTATTATATATCTTTCCATTTATTTAAATTATAAAAATAAAAAAAAAGAAGCTATATTTATTAATCTTCTAATAAGAAGTAAATTTTTTCTTCTAATAAGATTGTTAATCTTCTAATAAGAAGTAAACTTCAAGAGATTATCGTGACTTAATGTTTTGTTTTTTTAAATGAAATATTTGTTAACATTTAAATAATATGCTTAAAACAGTTTTTACTACAATCTAAATTATTAATGTAATAATAAAGGCAATAATCAAATTATTTTTATGTAAGATCTTAAAGTTATTTTTTTATTTTTATTGCTGTATTGGCATTTCAAATGCTTGTTTTGTTTAATAATCTTTATTAAATTTAATTTATTAACTTTTATTATTATTTTATAAAATTTATTATTATTATTATTTATAAATAAATGAAGCATTTCAAATGTTCGATTTATGTAATAAAAACGATATTTTAAATGCCTTCTTTATTAAATAAATCAAATATTTAAAATGTCATACAGTATAATTTTTTTTTCATTATTTATAATAGTTTAGATCATATAGCTATTATAAGATATATTGTTAAAGGTATCAATAATATATATGTGGCATTGAAGTTGTTAGAAGCTGATATTTTACATTTTAAATATGTTTCTTTTGTTTGATTTTTTCTGTGTTTGATTATGAAACCCCATCTACTAACATATAAAAACAGTGTACAAAAACTGATGTTACTACAACTTATACTTTACTTATGTAAAGCTTTCTGATATTCCATCTTTCTGAGGCAGAGGGACATTATTCTTGGTTTAATTATTTTTTAATTTAATGTCTCTGGATATTTTTCATATTTAGTTTGCGTACAACAGTTAACAATTTTAAGCTTATACATTAACTTTAGTTATAACTTAATTATTAATGATTTGATTTATAGATTTTTTAAAGCAATACCAGATTGAATTTAGCATAAGGCTAAATTTCTGCTCTGGAGACAAAAAAGGAAGACAGCGAAAATGACCAGTCAAAATAAAGATTGAAGAGACAAAAAATTGTGTATATCTTGGTGTAGATGATTTATCCTCATTTTCTAATAATAAAACAAAAAACATTATTAAACTTTGGGATTTACCTGTAACACCAAAATCTTTACAGAAGTTTAATGTTTGCTCAGAGAAGTTAAATGAACAAAATTATTAAATGGTAAGTGTCTAATGATTGAAAATCTTTATTCATAGCTTTAACTTTTACAATTTTAAAAACTTTTTCAAATATCACGGTCAAAAAGTCAGAGTGTTAATATTTTCTGTGGTCGGTATTTGAGAGCGATCGCTCCCGCCTCCTGACCAAGCCTGTGGTGTAAGCTTTGATATTTTGATTATTACATACTAAAATGTTAATACATTTTAGTATGTAATAATCAAAATATCATTATTATTCATTATATAAACATTTATTTCAATTTATCTAATAGACGAAGGTAATACAATATTTTTATAGATGATATTATTTTTAAAAATAGTGTTATTAAAATTCAGAACTAAAATATGTAAAAAAAATTATTTTCAAACATTGGACAAGGTCCGTACTGTATCTTGAAAATCTGGAAAATTTGTTAATATTGGCTAAAGTCGTGGAAAACCTGGAAACGTCAGGAAATTATTTTTTTCTAAAAATCAGTAATTCTAGTTAAGAAGTTACTCGTTTCACAAATGAACGCTGCGTTTTGAAAACGTGATGATTCACACTTTTTTTAAAAGTCAGGTTATTTGAAAATAATAATTTCAAAAAATTATTTTTTTCAAATAACAAATAACTTTTAAAATAAAAAAATATTAAGATAAAATAAAGATTTTTTTAGATAAAATAAAGATTTTTTTAGATAAAGTAAAGATTTTTTTAGAGAAAAGAAACAATTTTTAGATAAAATAAAAATAAAATTTTTTACAGGAGAAATATTTTTCACTCCCTTGTAAAATTTAAATTTTGTGACTTGTCACATTTTCAAAATGCAACGCTCAATTAAGCTATTATGTTTTTTTGGTGCTACCCATTTATTTTTTTTGAAACTTATGTTTTTCTTAGTGTTCTTTCTTAGTCGTCATTGAAGTACAACTTGGTAAACTACAAAACACATCAAATTCAGTTATAAAAATTTGAGTGACAAAGGAATACTAATTATTGTATTGCCTGAAAGAGTGTCATTGCTATTAAAAGCAGTGAAGAATTCAAGTACTCTGGAAGAAAAGAAAATACGTAAGTAATTGGTAAATATTTGTTTATAATTTTTTTATGCATTTTGTATATCTTAGTACAATTTATATACTTTAAATAAAATACTCTTTAAAAATTTTTTGTAAATTACATTTTATATTATTTTAAGTCTAAATAAAAATTACTTTAAATATTGCCAGGTTGTGTATTTTTGCAGGTTATTTATTTGGCACAAATCGGAGTTAAAGACAAAGGAGATTGTATATTTTATTTGCTAAGAATAGTTTTTTAAATGGCCTAGTTGTAAAATTAAACTATGCAGGAAGAGGACAAAAAATTGGAATAGAAAAAATGTTGATTGCATATGCTGCTATTGGTAAGTGGTTTAGAAAAGTTTATTTTTTCAGTTTCAATTTTGCATTACAGAATTACTTTCAATTTGTTATATTTCTTTGGTGCATAATTAAACAAACAACTATTTTTTTTTGCGGAAACTGTGAAGTCAAATAAGCATGGCTTATGCAGACATGTGATAGAGATAGAGGAAGAAAAAATAATAATCGTGGGCACCAAATATCAAAAGCTAAACACAATTTAATAACAAGTAGCTCAGCCAATATCGAAACTACTCTATAAATTTTATTGTGAGTTTTTTTATTTAAAACTCAATGTGTCAGTTTTTAGTTTAAGTTTAGTGTTTGCATTATGTATATTTAACAGATAAACTATGTTAAATAAATAAATTTTTATACTTGTATCATACATTCTTTTTTTTCTCTTTAAATTTTCAATGTGGCGATGCAACTCATCTTATTTTTAACAACGATTTAATGTTGCATAAAACGTTAGG